CCTGAGGCATCATAGTTGTCTTGTGGTTAGGTCCTTGATCTTTGACTATGTCAAAGTCACCCCGTCCGAGGGTGTCCACGCCATAGTTGGGGTTAAGCCACTTAGCCATGGAGGCAAGTAAATGCGCAACAAGGGATCTCTAACCTTCAAACCGTTTGAGGGAGAATACTTTATGATATGATTAAGAATCTCTGGCCAGAGTATGAATGAGATTTAGAAAGTCGTTCCAAATCACATTCAAGGTAATCATATAAGTAAACAAATCACATTGGATAGTCGACATGAATAAACTATCAAACCAAACAATGTGGTCAAGAGTATTGTATTAGAAAGACCGTATTGCATTGTAATCCTAAACTGAATAGGTTCTCCACCTCTTCTGATTAGCTTGGGTAACCATGACATACTGCTAGGTGCCACGCATGGTTTGTGGAAGCCCTAAACATGTATAATCACTAAAGGGAGAATTGAAAGTAAGTTTCAATTCACAATCGATTTGAAATAGTTCTAATTGCCCACTGCCTCACTAAAAGGAACCTAATGGATCGTACACCGTGTAAGGCAGAGATTGAAGAAACAACGGAGATGAGTAATGATAATTAAATGGTTTAATTATATATGGCAATGATGAATTAATATGTTAATTAATCAAACGAATAAAGTTCGTTAAAAGACCACGGGTTAGTTTTAGGCCTCAAGGCCCAATGGGCTTCGAATGTCAAGCCCATTGACTTAAGTTGTATGACAACTTAATGACAAATAATTCACAAAGGCCTTAAAGCCTAATGAAACCCTATGGCCGGTCATTTTGTTAAAGGAGTGGGGTTTGGACTTAATTACAAGTTTGCCACTCCAATGAATAAAGGTATAAATATGACTTTATAGCCAAAATTCATTTAGGGTTTCTTTTGGAGAAAATTGGAGACAACACAAAGCTCTCCTTTCTCTCTAAAGAGGCCGGCCACCCTTGGAGGGATTAGCTAGTAATCTTTCTCCTCCAAGGTCACTCATCTCTTCTTCACATCTTACCTTGGTGTGGAGACTTAGAGGTTCTCTATTTTGAGAACTTGGAGAAACATATTCTTCCATCCAAATCCATGGATCTAAGAAGCAAGGAATGAAGGCCCTCTCCTTGGGTGATTAGCCTTTGCTTATGCAAAGAGGAATCTACAAAGGTATAAATTTCTCAACTCACTTTGATTTGAGTTGAGTCTTGGTTCACCAATCTACTAGGCTTTGAATTTCATGGTTAATGTTTTGTTTTTAAGTGCATACAAGCATGATTCTGCCTTTTAATTGTTAATTGCATGCTATAGATGTTGCTTAAATGAACATGTTTTTCACAAAATTTCCTTCAGGCTTCATACACCCATCGAGCCACATATTGATCCACTTGATGTGTTCTTTCTTTCCAAATTGCATTATGGATGTTTTGTTGCCGAGTCTTCTTACTTCCCTCATTTGAAGAATCGGGATTGATGGAGGATGCAAACCTATCCATAGGTCCAAGAGTGCGAGGCATTTTCCTTGACCCAATCACTTCAATGTCTTATTCTTCTTGAATTTGTTGAAGTTGCACCTCTTCCCTCACTTCCACATTGTGCTTATCCCTTTGTTTCTTCTTATTTTTGCTTCTTCTAATGCGGCTCGACATTTGGCTTTATCTTTATCCGAAGACCTTGTGCATGCCGCTACATTTCCCCTTATGTTGGCTACATGTTGTTTTAATCTATGTACTCCACCACTAATGATTTTGTCACACAACTTACATTTCACCTTATCTGAGTTTGTAGGATTTGCCAAGATCCAATATTCCCATCCCACATCTTCCGAGCTACGCTTCAACACATCTTCAGATTGGGAGGAGGACAACATTGTAGTAGATGCTCCAGAAGATGAAGTACCAGTCATCATCACACAAGAGAAGAAACAATCCTAAAATTCATATAAAATAAACATTACAAACTTTTAGGTATTAATATCCCAAAAAAAATTATCACAGTATTATAACTTATAAGCCAAGTTAGCCAACTCAGATTGATGATCAAAATTTAGAAGTATAACTAAATGAAATGGAAAAACAGTTCAAGAACCTGCCAGTTAACCAAACCAAATTGCTGATGCAGAATTCCACTCAACTGATGCATATTGTTGTCATAGCTCTAAGAATAGCTAACTAAACCAATCTAACTCTAAAGGCAGCCATCATAAATTGGAAAGCTCATTCGACGAAAGGCTATATTCAAAAAAGGTTCATGTATATGCCCAATTATACAAACAATTGTGACAGACGATGTTCTTGTTTATAAATATATGCAGATTGGGTCCTCGCATGCATCTATATATAATTATTAATTGATACACAATTAGGCTAAGAATCTAAGATGGTAAGATGTGCATATGGATCTAGCAAACAACCAGCACGAAAATAATACCATTAAAATTTCTTTCAATTATTAATAGACAAATAAGTTAACAGATTGTCAGATTCCCCTCAATACAATTGGTTTCAAATCCAAAACTCTGTAATTTTTCCAATACCTTAACAAATTCAACATTTACAAATCAGAATCTGTAGAACAAAAACTCACTTTTTGGGGGCTTCGCAGCCTTCGATGTTGACTGTAGCTGCATAGTGCAGATTGCAGAGTGCAGTGTAGTAGATGAGGAAGAAGAAGAAGACACGAAGTCGTGCAGCAGTGCAGCAGGTGAATGTAGTGCAGATGAGGAAGAACTGAGGAAGAGACGAAGTCGTACAGCGGTGCAGGTTGCAGTGCAGATGAGGAAGAAAGAATAAGAGACGAAATGGGCGAACAGCGAAGAAGAAACGCAGCGGTGCAGATTATGAAATTAGGTCATAGGATAGAATTAGAATTCAATTTAGAAGTAGAAACTTAGAATAGAAAAAAAAAAAAGGGCCTAGCTTTGCCTAGCCGCTTAGCACCGCCTAGAGCTTGGCCGATTTTTCAATCCGTTTTGCCAGAAATCACCTCGGTTGGTGCCCGCCCAGCGCCTAAGCGCCGCCTAGGGAGTTTTTTAGAACACTGGTCACCGTCTGGTTCATCGAATTCTGGAAAAACTCGCCTGTTTTTGGAAAAACTTTCAAAGCTTCATATCTTGCTCATTTCTCAACCATTTTTGATGCATTTTATATGGAAATGAAACTTTTGAAGAGTAAAACAAGATTGTACCTTTCAAAAGTCCAAACAGTGGACTGAAATTAGCTCGAAACTCTCAGACCAAATTTCAAATCCTTGAACCCGTCTGTTTTGACATTACTAAGCTTTAACTTTAAACTAGGGACCTTGGAGAGTTGTGTGGATGCTTCCCAACGTCCAAAACCTTGTAACATGGCTGGAAAATGGTCGAGGGAAAACTTACCGAGTCGGAGCTTCCGAGTTGTTCCAAGTTTGACACTCAAAACTTGTCCACTTGGTAATCGATTGGTACGGATGTGTTCGTGGGGATGAGAGGACACGATGGTGGTGTTTGAAAGGCCGATCTGTGAGGTTTGATATTGGTGTGTGTGTGTTGCAGAGGAAAGAGAGTCACGAGTGAGTGAGAGAGAATGAAAAGATGAGAGAGAATGTGAAACAGCTTTCTGATTGGGCAGAGAGAAGAGAGAGGAAGCGATCTGATTGGTTGAGAAAAGTGAGGAGAGAAATTGATTGGTGAGAAAAAGTAAGGCACATGTCAGATTTTTAAAGAGAAAAATAATAGGTTCTTATACAGCAGAAATCACGCGAAATCTAACGTGCCTTATCAAAAACAGTGGTTTTCAAACACTGAATAATTAACACACACGTGTACAAAATCTACTCGTTGTTAACACAATTGAACTAAAAGTAACTTTTTCGTTACAACACCGTTTCGGGTCTAACTTGCGCTCACGCGATCATAACAACGATTACTAATTAATTACGATAGCAAGAAAAGTAAATTAAAAACCGAATAAGTACGTCCACGTTAGTTTCCACTTTTTCCAAAAAGGGAATAAATGTCAATTTACACACTTGGAGAGAAAATTACATAGAAAATTAGGGATGGGTCGTCACAGTGGAGAGAGATGTGTTTGTAGGGTTGTGTAGAGGATGTGTTATTCCCCCTACGCAGAGCCTTTATTTATAGTAATAAGGGAGGGAAGAATCATTCACCTCCAAGGAATACAAGTCCTAATATAAGATTTACACAATCACACTTAAATACAAAGTTTATAACAAATTAGGATTTGTTTTGATTTATTTAATAGTATTGCTCATTTGTATTATTATAAACGGTTGTGCTACCCATACATCCTTTGTTTACCTTCCACATACACCCTGTTAATTTCTGTCATTTTATTTTCTTCAATTTATTCGATTTAACGGCTAGAAATTGAAAAAGATGTGTAGAAGGTAAAACTGGGTTTGTAAATAGCATAGGGTTCTCCATTTGAAGAAGACTAAAGAGTGTGAAATACTTTGTTTAACTTGGCATCATCAGGCTACTTAATACTACGGTCTAGTGGTACTCCTCTTCACTTGTAAATGAGGTCTGAGATTCAAGTGCAAAACCCACGAATCTGGTGATCCGTGATAATTATGATCTAGAGTTTTGGTTGTTTTCAATGCTAGGGAAACCAAATGTTTAAATTAAATTTGCAAACCAAATCAAGTGTCACCAATAAAAAAAATAAGTACGTTAATCAACACTTAAGTAATAATCCAATCATTAACATCCACATAATTTGATTTATAAAATTTGTCTCCATAGCATTACCATTTGGGTTATATGGGTTCGGATTTGAGATATGCTAGATTTTTGTAGTTGCTTGTGCAGATTTTGTCCACTTTAACTTGGTTTTTTTTATAGATGTTATTTGTATGGTTATGTTAGATATTCATAATATTAAGCAAGCATACAATCTTGAAGAAGGGCATCCTGAATAGGAGTTGGAGGCACCTTAAACCAACAACTAGAAACAATAAAAATTAAGGCTAACTTGGCCATTCTATGTGCCACTAAATCGGCGGATCTACGTTGTGACTAACTTTCACAAACATGTAGCTCTGTAGGCTAGTTTTAACATCCTCAATCAGTAAACCAGTAGTAGAAAGCCCACAACTAGGGCTGCCAATAACTTGAACCACTTGTAATGCATCACACTCCAGAACAATGTGTTGCCATTGTCTTTGAATAGCCAAATGCAATCCTTCATGAGCAGCTAGGATCTTACTAGTGTTGGGGTTGGTAGTGTTGGGAGTTTTGCAAACGAAACCTCCAGTATAGCTGCCTGCTTTGTTGTGAAAAACCACACCGATACCCTTGCATTTTGAATTTGCACAGAAAAAAGCATCAACATTTATCTTAATCCAATTCGGTGGAGGTGGGATCCATCGAGAGGGAAAAAGCAGCGGGCAATAGGTAATGACATGTTGGACATTAATAAAATCAGATAAAAATAAACCAGCCATCTTACTCACCACTATAAAAAACAAATGGTTAGGTGCAGAAACCATGAGTCATTTTGATATGTCAAAAAAGCAAAAACTAAGGATGAATTATAAGATTAGAATTTAGTTTTCCATACCAAATTGAAGACTAGTGACGTAAAGAGGGAGAATTAATATGGTAGTGGTGAAATACAGATATGATTTGCATATCTATTCTCTTAGGTAGAAGATTTGGTTAAAAAACGACAAATCAACATTGTTTATTGACATATGAGATAAGGCAAGGTATTCAACATGACAGTGGGAACAACCCTTTCTTCATATACACCTTTGCGGCTACATCTTCTGCCTTGTTTACACATCCTACCGGCCACCACCATTGCTCGCCCAAAAGTTTGATTCGTTTATGTGAAATATATTGCAGAGATATAACAAATATTTATATGATCAAATATAGCAAATTAAATGTATAATCACTATCAAACTTATGAAAATTAAATTAGGAAAAGGGAATAAGAATATTTGGCCTATGAACCAAAGAGAGGCGCGATGTCGCTGCCCTAAAGCTGTAGATGCCTCCCTATGTGCAGGTTATGGCGGTGCCTACAGCTCTAAGATACAACCCAAAGCCTCACAGGATGTCTGATCCGATATGCACGCCAACGGCAGACGGGATTGCCAAGTAGTGATCAGTTGCCCAAGAATTATAAAGTATGAATGTAAACTGATAGAGATGTGAGAATTGAGGGAGATAGAAAAGTTTTTGTGTATTATGTTTTCTGTCTGAGGTTTCTTATTTAAAGAACTTCTCATACCCTTTTAGAAAATGATTATGACTCTTCAAATAAAACACAACTCTTAAATATTAAAAATAAATAAAATAAAATAATTATAAGTTTTGAATCTTAAAAAAAAAATATAATTAAAATAATTAAAATAACCAACAATCCCCCATAAGATTCAAAACTCTATGAGGAATAAAATAGACACAATTGAAGAAACGGAAGTTTGGGCAATTTGTATACCATGCAATGGGTGTAGGTGTCTTTTGGACTTAAACCTACACTTAGTGTTTACAGTTTTCATCTGAAGGAATCACAGTGAACTAAGTCTTGAACTAGATTCCTCTAATTCAGATTACAACATTTGACACACATAGTATTGATAAAAAACTTGGTGCGGGTTAGCGCTATTTATGACCATGCGCTTAATCTTGATTCTCATAATGTTTTTAGAGAACAACCCAATTCTCACAGTTGCGGCCTCATGAATACTCTCACTTAGATGAGTCCTCCAAGAGTACATGTGACTTGTACTCTACGGGAGATTCCCCGCCTTGGAACTCATTTAGGACAATGTCTTTCCTTAACATCACATATCATTAGCACAAATGTCATAGGGATGAGTAGGGGATTTCATTTCAAATCTCCTATTTTAGAGTGCTGGAATATAAGTCACGCAATATGGATTGTTTCTACCCATTGAACCTTCTTCATAGGATCTCCAATCACAAAGGTTGGGTTTCTTCCCTAGGTGACTTCCTTATGGGTTTAATCCCATCCCCCTCGACAAATCTAAGACCCCTTTACTAGATAGACCTTTGGTCAATTGATCAACAATGTTCTTTTCCGACTTCACATAGTCCAAAGAAATAAATTTTTTATTTAACAAGCTTCTCACTGATTTGTATCTAACATTAATACGTCTATTTAATTTGTTATTTGTATATGTCTGCCTCACTAAATCTATCACGGCCTTATAATCACAATGTATGGAGATGGTAGGTATAGGCTTGCTCACCAATGGGGTATCAAGCAAACAATTCTTAATCCATTCAGCCTTTATACATGTAGTATCAAGAGCTATGAGTTCAGATTCCATTGTACTTCTATAAATTATTGTTTGTTTCTTAGATCCCCAAGATATAGCTACTCCTCCCAAAAAATACATAACCTAAAGTAGGTTTCACTTCGGAGCTATCAGTGATCCAATTTGCATCACTGTACCCTTCTACTACATAAGGAAATCCTTTATAGTGTATAGAATAATCCATAGTTCCTCTTAGATACTTAAACACTCGCCTTAAAGCATTCCGGTGTTCTTTACTTGGATTATGAGTGTATCTACTTAGCCTTCTAACGACATAAGCTATATCAGGTCTAGTTTTATTTGCTATATACATCAAAGACCCAATCATTTGAGAATACTCGAGTTGACACACGGGTTCACCACGTTTTTAAGTAAGCACACACTTGGTTCATATGGTGTCGAGATAGGATTGCAATTGAAAAAATTGAACTTCTTAAGCATTTTCTTAATTGAACTAGCTTGGTTTATAATAAAACATGCTTGTGTTTTTTCTACTTTCATTCCCAAAATAATATTGGCTTCTCCTAGATCTTTCATGTCAAATCTCCTTGATAGATATGATTTAACATCTTTGACAATTTCCAGACTTGTTCCAAATAATAGTATAACACACTGTCCATTGCATTCCTTACTGTAGACACTTTTCATGCTCATTAACTTCAAAATCATATTCTAAAATAACTTTATCAAACTTCTCATGCCATTGCTTAGGAGCTTGCTTGAATCCATATAACGATTTAACCAACTTACACACTTTATGTTCTTGGCCTTTCAATATAAATCATTTGGGCTGCTCCATGTAAATTTCTTCATCTAAGTCTCCATTCACAAATGCTGTTTTAACATCCATTTGATGAATTACTAAATTGTGTATAGAAGCTAATGCTATGAGAATCTTAATTGTGGTAATCCTAGACACATGAGAGTAAGTGTCAAAATAATCAATTCCTTTCTTTTGAGTGAATCCCTTGGCTACTAGCCTAGCTTTGTACTTGTCAATACTTCCATTAGGCTTCATTTTCTTCATAAATACCCACTTACAACCAATTGGTGTAGTACTAGGTGGTAAATCCGTTAGCTCCCAAGTGTTGTTTTGTAAAATAGACTCAACTTTGTTGTTTATAGCTTCTTTCCAAAGTGGAGCATCGACAGAGATCATGGATTCCTTATATGTTGTTGGATCACCTTCAATTAAAAAAGTATAAAAATCATCACCAAAGTTCTTTTCCACTCTAGGTCTCTTACTCCTTCAAAGTTCTGCTAGAGGTTCTTCATTAGTAACTTGATGGCTAATACTTGTGGAAGCTTTGTTAGTACTAGTGCATGATATATCTACCACTTGCTTTTGCATTCTAGTCTTGAAAGGAAATATGTCTTCAAAATATGTTGCATCCCTAGACTCCAATATAGTGTTATTCGAAATTTCATTTATTTCAGAGTTGATGACTAGAAATCTATTGGCACTACTATTATGAGCATAACCTAAGAAAACAGTATCCACAGTTTTAGGTCCTATCTTCTTTCTCTTAGGTTCTGGGATTGCAACTTTAGCCAAACACCCCCACACTTTCAAAACTTGGAGATTTAGTGTTCTTTTTTTTTTCCACATTTCATATGGAGTAGTAGTATTTTCTTTAATGATTACTCTATTTAATATAAAACATGCAGTCAAAATTGCTTCCCCCACAAATTTTCCGGTAATCCAGAACTCAAAAGCATTGCATTCACCATGTCCAATAAGGTCCCATTCTTCACTTCTGCAACTCCATTTGATTGTGGAGAATTGGGTGCTGTTACTTCATGTATAATATCATGCTCTTCACAAAAAACACTAAGATCGATAAGAGTGTACTCACCACCTCTATCAGACCTAAGTCTCTTTATCTTTTTCTTTAATTGATTTTCCACTTCAGTCTTGTAAATCTTGAATTTACCATATACTTCATCCTTGGTCTTTATCAAATAAATATAACAATACTTCGAACAATCATGTATGAATGTGACAAAATACTTATTACCACCTCTAGTAGGTAATCTATTTGAGTCACAAACAACACTATGTATAAACTCTAAAATTTGGGTATTCCTTTCCAAGGACTTAAAAGGTTTCTTAGGTTGTTTTGCTTGTACACAAATTTCACACTTATGCTTAAGATTCATATTTGACTTTGGGACTAGGTCCAAATCCATCATTTTCTGAATTTTGAACAAGTTTACATATCCCAACCGTCCATGCCAAACATTACGAGATTCAACATTAAGAACTTTTGGAAGAGTATTGCACTCTGAAGAAACACTTAACTTAAATAATCCTTCACTAATAAAACCTTTTCCAATGAATACATTATTATTGGTTATTACAACCTTATTTGATTCCATTACAACTTTATAGCCTTGCTTTACTAAACATGATCCATTAATTAAATTTCTTCTAATATCAGGTACATGTCGCACGTCCTTCAAAATTAAGAACTTTCCTAATGTCATCTTTAGTTCTATGTCTCCAATTCCAAGCACTTGCAACATTGAGTCATTTCCTAAGTTACATGTCCTCCACCTGATTTCTGGTAGGTTTTAAAAAATTCACGATCAAAACAGACATGTACATTAGCTCCAGAATCTACCCACCAATCCTTATTTTCATAAGTAAAATTGACAAAGGAATCATACTTAAAATGTGTTTGAGTAGATTGTTGCTTTATCAGTATATTCACCTGAGCTTGTGGACCATTGTGATTGGACTTAGACTTGTTCTCCTCAGTCTTCTTGTTGAAGCAATCTTTATCCTTATGATTGGTTCTTCCGCAAACGAAGCAAACCCCATTCTTTCTACTTTGATCCTTAATCTTGTGGAAGTTCTTAGTTTGGTTGGGTGATTTGAATTTAAAATTTGTTTTTCTAGGTTTGAAATTCTTCTTATTATTAATGGTGAAATTGTTTTTGTTTTTTCCATTTTTGTGGATGTCATTCTCAACTAAGTTCACTGTATATTTCTCTTCGATCCTAATTGAATTTATGACTTGAAACAAAGTAAGTTTTCCTTGTTTATGCCTTAAGGTTCTAGCAAAGTCATTCCAAGATTGAGGCAGTATATCAATAAGACAGGAAACTTTAAAGTCCTCATTGAACTTCGTTCCTTTCTTCTCAACACC